GTTAAACAAAGCTAACTAACATGCCTTTACCATTGTCTATCAGTACACTAAGTAGCATCAGTAGCACAGATTTGCACACCTTTAAGAAATTTAAGGCATTCCTCATTACCAAGCCTCCATTTGCCTTTAAATATTGCCTATACACCTAAGGATGTGAGCAGGATGTGGGACTGAGTCAAAAAAGCATCAAGCATTCCAGCAAGGGCTGCTTGAGCATTCTTGCTCAGCAGCTGTGAAACACCCATCCCATCTATGGCAAAAGCTGCAGAGCTCTTACTGCGGAGCAGGAGCACGCACACAAACACTTCCTAGGAGTTATTCAAGCTCAGAAAGAAAGTTAAATGACTGCTCATAATCTAAAAGCATCTATGAATCAAAACTGATTTAATTAAAGCAGCTGCCTGTGCACCCAAACATAGAAGCACCGATTCAGGCTAAGTGGGCAGAATACACTGAAAATTAATTGACTTTTCGATTTTTATAAAAATTGAAAAAGATTCAATTCCACACCCGAAGAATAAATACAGCTGTGAGTGACAGTGCTAAGAGCTCTCATTTCCAATTACAAATTTTTGCACCTTTTAAGCAATTATAATCACATTTTTGCAGCTCACATGGGAACACAGACCCCGGAATTAGCCAACTGCAGCTTTCTTGGCAGAAAATCATGGTCCTGTAATACAATATCCAAGAACTGTTCCCTTTCATTGGCGACTATGCCATCCCACTGCTGTTCAACACCACCACCTGAGCTGTGACCTAAGCACGCAGTACAGCAGAAGTTCACTCCCAATCAAACCTCCTACAACTCGTTTGTTGTGGCAGTCCTCAAGGAGACAGCACACAGCAGCAAGCTCAGCCCAGTGAATCAGGGTGGATTCATCATGCTTTCAAGTACCTGTACTTCAAATGCACAGCAGGCTCATTTGCACACAGCTGGCACTGGGCTGCCTTCTCCAGGCTTTACCTCAGCATTCACATTTCCATAGGCTCAGACAAAAAGGAAAAGGACTCACCACTATCTTGTGACCTTCTTTTTTTCCCTCCTTGTCTTTGAGAGTTAATCAGTAACCAGAGATTTCTGCTAACAGTTTGTGCTGCTGATCTCAAGGTCCCACGGCCCACAAAGCTTTAGAAGATTCTGTGTATGGTTGAATACATAGCCATACATACAGCAAATTCTCTGCCTTCACATTTGAGCTTCCTACACTATGAACAAGGAGTATTTCACATCCTGCAACACTGTATCTGCAGCTCTCTAAATCAGCCCTAGCCTGCTTATCCAGGTGGATAAGAACACTTCAGGAGGTTAAGAGAAATAAAAAAAGCAAGACACTTCTCATGAGACGGTTACTGAGCTTCTCACTCTGGTAGTCCACATCAGTTTTCAACCTCAAACAAGCACCTTAAGGTCCTAATGCTTTTATTTTAAAAGTTGTCACCTCCTAGGGTTGATAACACGATATTCAACGTGGCCACAATCATAAAACTGCAGATGGTGAGCTGCTTCATCTTCGTCCAATACTGAGATCTCAGCTAAAACCGAACACTTAAACCTCAAATATCTCAAAGAAACCCTCAGTAAGTCATAGATAAAATGGTTAAATCCTCCTGGTGAAACGTCCTTTCCTTCTAACTGCTCAGCTTTCAAATTCATAGAATATTATTTTACCATTTATCTGGTTTGTTACTCCTCAGTCCAGACAGCCCCACAGTCAGAAAAAATGAACAACAAAGCCAACATGCGAGGCATCTTTCAGCTTGATAAAGAAGCTGAGGAGGTGACAGACAAAAGCTTTCTTCACTTCTGCTTTGATTCTAAGTTACATCACATTCAAGACTCCTTTCACCGGTCTCTCAGTGAGACAACAGGGCAAAACTTTTTGTCACTCTTCCTAGCCTGTTTCTTTGCCTCTGCCCACACTGCATTGCAATTACTCAGCCAGCAGGAAAAAGACAACCTGACATTGTATAAAAAGAGCACACTACACACCATACATCAAGTTTCACCTCTAAAACGTTATTCCCCACAGCAAGCAATACAGCAGTGCACCACGTCCTTCGCTGTAACGGTGCATTAATAATAATTGCTGTCTGTTGCTTTCTTTGCAAGTCCGCCACAAAATCTCAGTCAATGACTGCCATTCTATTCAGGATAAAACAGTTAAAATGGAAGAGCATGTGACATAAGAGAAAAGTGGAATTTATGCAAAGAGTCGGCAATACTTAAGCAAAACTTGGATATCCTCATAAACCAGCACTACACAGTAATTTGTATCACTTGAATCATGCTTCTCTTTCCTTCTATTTCAACCTGATGTGGCAGGAAGTAATTAGCAGGGATGTGTTGCCTTGCATACAGCTGGAAAGAATTAATCTAGCATTTCATTTGTGGCATTGTCCATTTGGAAAACCATTTCTTCCTGCACATACAACAGTTTGTTTCACATTCAGCTCTAGAGATTAGCATTTCCTTCTTTATCTGCTACACAGCAATATTTGACGGGAGCCCAGAGCAAAAATATCATCTTTACGAAGGCTTTGCTACTTCTGCAGGAAAAGTGTTACATGATTTTTTTTTTTTTTTTTAACAAAAAGATACAAATAAGCCATCCAGAAAACAATTTCAAAGGGAGACTTGAAATTTAATATTATGTACTAGAGATTAAATAAAACCATTCATTTTGTTATTTCTTTTCTCCCCCCTCTTTTCTATTGAGAACTATGATTCCTGCAGATAAAGAACCGACTTTCTGCCATCTGTTTTTGCTGTGTGCAAAGCACACAGGTCTCGTTTCTGGTTCTAAGTAAAAACTGGTTGGGAGAACAAGGGATGCCCCCAGCCATCAGACACTTATTTTTTGTGGGAGAAAAGGCCACAAAGAACAGCTGGGGATTTTATGAGAAAGACAAATAAGTGACGCTCTTACGCTTTTAAACATTAACTTCAGTAAGGCTTGGAGGAAGATCTACAAGGCCCTTCAGAATGGCAGGCCTCAGAGAAACGCTCACACTTGGCCACAGTGAGAAAAAGTTCCCTGGAGAGTCAAAACAATTAAGGTAATTGAGCTTTCCACAGATCTAGTATTATAATTCTAATGTTTTTATGGATGTAGTTTCAAGCTCCACGACAAAATATATCTGTATGTCTATACGCACACATATACACATAGGGCACTTCCTTATCCTTTTGCTATGCTGTGTTAGCTTTGGGTTATTAAAGGAACTGAGTGTGCAATCCAACGCAGACCAAGATACACAGATGATACAAGTTGAAGAAAGAAATCAGATCTTTCTTTAGCAATGCCAGAGTTTAACTGTTGACACTGTATTTCTACTGGTAACAATCTCAGAATACTGCTTAAAAACGAGACGGATATTCTTTCAGACTCATTTTGGCTCATCATTTGAGACGGGAACGCCGCGTTTAAACAACAGGGGAGACAACAAAAGACAGAACAAAGTCCCTCCTGTCCAAAGCCTCAGAAAACAAAAGAGCCAGATGTACCAAATTCATAGACCACAAGTTATAACCCTTGATGAGAAGACGTGTATCAGCTTGTGATATGTACACATATTCCTACTACTATTCCTCGAAGGCCAAGGAACAGTGATCTGACACGAGTTTGCCAATAACAGTTGGCACAACTGCATCCCAACCAAAAAAAAGACACGAAAAGGAAAACAAAGTTCAAACACAATCACGATTTTTATGAAGGTGACAATTTTCAATATCCAAAGTGCTGCCTTTATTTTTAAACACTGGACACTGCAAAAAAAATAAAAAAAAATAAAAAAAATAAAAAAGCATTATCACTTACAGCTGTGCAAGCAACACAAGAGAAGGTTTATAATTATTTGCCCAAGGCCTGGATTTTCCAGCGAGCACTCACAGGTTTAGAGGGACAGCAGATGCCACCTCTGTGCTCCTGTGTTTGGTCACTGCCCAAGAGCTTCTAGGAAGGATTCAATAGTTGACTTGTGGAAGCAGCTGGATTAAAACCCAAGCACTCCTACTGTATAGCACACGCAGCTTTACTTCTCAGCAGGAGCACTTGCATGAAAACATTCAGTATTCCTCTCCAGCTTCCATTACCCTAACAAAACCCTTAAGATAATTTCATCCCTTGCATAATGGATGCTGGATCTAATGTCAAACAAGGAACCTCCTCCTCTTCAGCACTTCTTTGCCGCAGTTATGAAATACATGCTTTCTGCCATACAAAAAGCTAACTGGCAGCACCACAATCCTAAGTAAAGAGGAAACTATAGTTTCGACATTTGTCATCTACAATAAAGGACATATTACAGCATGAAAGAACACTAATCGCACAGCACAACTGAAAGGAAACCACTATCTAATAAGTTCAGAGGTTAAACACCACGAGTTTCAAAATAACAGTTTTTCTGGATTGCCACTAGGAAGGGGACAAGTATGAAACACAAATATTATTTTGTTAAACCAATATGTAACTCATAAGTGGGGAATTCATTCTCCATGACCTGTTTGTCTTCAGAGGAGGGCGAATCACAGAGAAGGCACACACACAGCCCAGCTCCGAGGCTGAACGCATGCAGGATGCTCCTTCGGAAGCGCTGCTGACGAGCACAGCCCCTGACAGCCCTTTGCCAAAATCAGAGCACACGGCACTCCGTGCTCACAAAAGATGCCTCCAGGGAATTTGTGCTCATCAGCATTATTCTGTGCACGTAGGAGCCACCTTCAACGGCTTTTACTTTAATTAAACCTTACTACTGTAAAGGGCAGAGAGGGCACAAACACATTTACACTACACTGCAAGTGAAAGTGGTAATGAAAGAGAAAGCAAATAGAGTACCTTCCTCCCTCCGTACTCAGAGACTCTTCCCCCCATCCGCTCCCCCAAAGAGTAAAGGAATCCCCCAGTGTCTCAAGATAACTGCTCGAACCTTACAGGCAAGGACACGTCCGCTCCTCGTCCTGTAATCATCCTCCCCCCACCCCTTCTCCAGTTGAGCACTTGCCTCTCCTCCGTGCCCATCAAATATCCCGAAGATGGAGGGATGAGTCTTGTTCACCAGGTCGGTGATTACTTCGAACCTGTCCTCCATGTGATCCCTCCGGCCTTGGATGGAATAGACAGCCACGTTGTGGCTCTTGAACTCCCAGGTCTTGGAGAACTCGGCATCCAGCACGTCCAGTCCCCCGAGCCTGTCATTCTGCATGATCTCGGCCACCTTGCCCTTCACCATCTTCACCGCATCCCTGCTGGACTTAACAATGGTTTTCACCTCATCCGTGTGGAAGAAATAACTCCACAGAGCCAGGCTGATGCACAGCAAGAACAGGGTCTCCGGTCTGAGCAAGAAGTAACGCATGATCCGACCCAGCAGAGACAGCAAAGTCATTGTATCCTCTATCATTTATTATCGAAACCGTGTATCCCCACACCATGCAACGCGCTCCCGGCGGACGGGACGGGCTCGAGGCGAGGCAGCGGATCAGTGCATGCTCGGCCGGGGCGCGGCCGGCAGGCGGCCAGCGCCGAGTCCCGCTCCCCGCGGCTCCCCGCTCCGGCCGGCGCCCCGGGGGGGCCGCTCCTCGCCCCGCCGCCGCCGGCACCGCGGCGCCCCGTGCCTCCTGCGGGAAGCGGCCCGGCCCGGCTCGGCTAGGCGGGGAAGGCTCCGCCGGTGCCGCACACCCCCTGCGGCCGCGGCACCCCTCCGAGCCCGAGCCCGCCGCGGGCAGCCCCTAGGCCGCTGCTCCTCCTCGGGGCCCCGCGGGAGACAGCCGCGCTCCGGCGCTTTCGCGGCTAGCAGCGTCGCGGAGGCAGGGGCTGGCCGCAGCGAGCTGGCGTCTGGCAGGGCCGCCGCGGGTACCTGGCCGCCGTGCCCCCCGCGCCTTGCGCCGTCCCTCCCTCGGGGCGGGGCGCCACCGCCTCCTCCTCTCCCGGCCCCGCCGCCTGCCTACAAGTCCCGGCGGGCGCCGCGCGGGAGGCCACGCGGATTGGCTGCCGGCGGCGAGAGGGATTGCGGGCGCTGTAGTCCGGCGAGGCTGCGCCCAAGAGAAGCGAGAGCCGGGAGCCTGCAGCCCCGCAGGCATCTCCCAGGGGCGTCTGCGGGTTTCCTGTCACCTCTTGTCTCCCCGCGGGCGTCTCTGCCTGTTCTGGCCCTTCCCCAGTCTCCTCTCCTGCCAGCTCTTCCAGTGCTGTGCGTGCTTAGTTAGCGGGAATAGCGACCAAAAACATCCCTCTTGTGGATTTAACAGCAAGAGGTAGATTCAAGCGAAGATCGATGTCAAGTGATCCGGGGGCAGCAATGTGACCGACCGCTGGACTCCTCCAGGCTACAAGCACTGGGCTGAGCTGCTCCCAGCCCAGGAGCAGTTGGAGACCCCTCGGCAGCCCCAACTCCACTCAAACCCAGAGAAACAGAGAAACAAAACGGGGCTGTGGCTGTTCTTGAAGCCAGTCGTGGGAGATTACCTTCTACATGTAATAAATGATCTCCAAGATGCACTCACGTGCAATTCACTTTTGAGTAAAGAGGAACAGAAGCAGACATTTCCAAATTATCAAGCCAATAATTGAGGGTGTCTACACAAGGCTAATGAAAAGAATAAAGGAACTCCTGAAAATGTGTATTTTCTTTCTCCGACCCACTTCCGAAAGTTGTTTTTCTGATAACTGCTTAGCAATGGAAATTACAAGCTGTGACTGCGAGCAGAAGTTTGCCGGGATAAAATCAATTCAGCGCGCCGCCTGAGTTGCAAATGAGCGGGAGGGATTTTCAGCCAGCTGGCAGAACGGGGGTCTGAAAACAGACAAAATTCAGCCAGCAACCTCCAAGAGCGTGACAGCTGATATGACAGTCAAACACATAAGAGTGGTGTTGAAAATGAATTAGCGAACCACGAAACCTGTCGGAAATTTTGACTGAACAGTCTGCCTTTGAACCTGCCTTTCTGCTGGAGGTGAGCGTGCCCTCTGAGCCTTCTAACAGCTCCCTCTCTCTAGGCTGCTGGTAATACAGAAATCGTGTGTAAACTCACACAATATTTTTTGCTGTCCTTGCAAAGATCATCTTAAGTTAGAATCAAGCTTAATCAGCTTTGATTCTTACATCCAGCTCTGGAAAGCAGGGAAGGTAATGAGAGATGTTGCAAATAACAGTGATACTGCTATAAGATCTCAGAGGTACGTAACACTTAGTCAGTATTTCAAATGAATACTGAAGTCATGTCTTTCAGGCCTAAGACTCTCTCTTACCTCCATCCTCCCTTCTGCTGCTATCCATGTGAGCTGGGCCAGGAGCTCTTTACCTGAAAGACCAAGATAAGCACTCATCATTTCGGTACTATCATAACTGCAAAGATGTGGGTGCTAGCAGCCAACTTTAGGAGGACTTTTGGGAAACATAGGACTAACTGTGACAAACAGGCCAAAAATATGTTGTACCAATTAAATAATAATTTTGCTAACCTTTTGACAACAGCTACACTGAAGCTTTTCTGTCAGACTGGGTTCTCACTTCACAAGCAGTTTTTTTTGCGAAACCCCTCAGTTTAAACAAATCCTCATTTCTTTTTTCCTATTTAAATTATGTCTTAGCATGGCTGGGATGCTTGCACTGCAGCACCGATCCCTCCACACGGTCAATTTGTCTTTGTATGTGCGACTTTAGAGAGCTAAGTTCTTCTTCCTGGCTTTTTGCTGCATGCTACAGCAGCTCCCTTTTGAGTTATTGATTGTACAGGCTGTAAGCTGCATGTGGCTGCTAAGCAAATTTTGCTCTGTAACAACTGTGTTTGCTGTTAATAATAACTTTATTCTTGCTTCTTTTAATTCTATTCAATCTTATATTTAGCAAAAGACAACATGCATCTAAAAATGTGGAGGATAACGCTCACTACAGCCAAATAATTTGATATTTATTTAATCATCATTCTAATGAAACATAAATGTGCGTGCACCATGAGGGTACAGTGAGCTGTACAAAAGTTGTGCTTCGCTGACAGTGGTATGAGGTCAGATGATGGGACTGCCAAGTGAAATAAAGTGGTTTCATTCCAGACTCTGCACAAAGTGCTCTTCCAGCCACCAGCATGCAGACCCAAACTGTTACTGCAGTTCCTGAGGCCTTGTACTCACACTGTGCAACAGCAGAAGATGCTCCACACCACCTGAAGCACTCCATCAGCACCCTGAGTTTTGTTGCCTATCTTCTGTAGCTTTGTATATCCCCAATGCTGCAAGAGTTTGAGTTAGTTCCAAAAGCATCTCAGCTTGAAAATGTGATCTGAAACACTCCGTAGCTGCAGAGTGTGCAAAGCTTTCACTTTTGAATGGAATGTAGATGCAACAATACAGTGCAGGCAAAATCTTCTGCTAAATAGATGCAAGAGAGCAGCAATTGTTATTATGATATGGCCATTTCAAAGTCATCCATATAAAAACTGCAGAGAATTTGCTTTCACTCAACTCTTGAAATGGAAGGGACCACCAATTAAACGTGAATAATCCAGACACAGATACAAGTCCCATGTGAAGATAGCAAGAAGTGCAAAACCGGAGGCTCAGTGTAGCACTGAGACAGCGCTGATCCAGGGTGAGCAAAGGGACTCACATGTCTCACTCCATGGCTGAATCCTGCACTGCTTTCTCTAGCAAATCTCCCCAGTGCAATACCAGAACTTCATGACCCACGAACTTTCTTTTCAGTGCTGGAAATCATTAAAAGCTTTGCAAGTATGTGGCATATGCTTTGTGATTGAACTGGCACTTTTCATTTGTGAAAGGCTTGAAAAGTCATCACTGAGTCAGCTTCACAAATCAACTTCACAAGTATACACCTTATAACGAGCTAGAAAAAACATATCTTGCTCAACAGCTCCTCCTACTGCTTACATGCACCGCGTTTGTAAGAAGCCGCATAAAACGATGTTTGTCAGGACAACCTAAAAATAATAATTTATTTCATTTACTCTTTATGCAGGCTGAATTCACTGCTCCCTTAACCTCAGCAAGAACAGGGAAGATGTGATTCTGCGTGGTCCATCAGTCTCACTAGATAATTTCACTGGCCTGCATGGTCCAGTTTGATGGAATCTTCCTCTAAAAAATGCTACCAAAATCCAGACAATTTCTGCTTTATGTTAGAGAGGATGCTAAAATTCAGAGTAAGCTTCTGTTCTTTACTGTATTGTTGCTGCCTGTTGGAAAAGCCTTCTCAGGATTTTCAGATTCAAACAGTGCTGCTACCATAACCCAGAAGTACACACCATTGTAGTCCAAGGCAACTTTCACTGCAGGGTGGAACAAGGAAACTTGTATCAGAATATCCCAAGAAGCACATAGACTCACTTCCCTTTTCTTCTGCTACTATACAAAATTGCAACAGAAACTACAAAATGGTCTTTTCTTCATGTCAAGAACAAAATAGCAATGCAGCCAAATATCTCCTGCTTTTTCTTCAGATGTTTTCAAGGAACAAATTTTAGAATATACAGAATGTTCTTTGGCCATGACAGACACAGCTCTCCAGAGGAATAACAGTATAGCAACATACGAAACTGTTTTTTGTAAGAGTTTTGATAAGAGGTGAGTAAAGCTGTGGATTTTCAGCCAATGTTTTTTATCCTTCTTTTCAGTTGATATAAATCATATTTTATAATATCATTCCCAGAGTTTTACACTGCAGCAAATACGAAACTTTACAGGTAGATTCTCCCCTCTCCCTGATAAACCCATGAGAAATCTCATTACAGAAATTTCGCTCATCTTGCATCGCCCTTGAAAGGGAACATTTGCAGACGTGGAATGAAAATAGCAATTTTCCACGCAAGTTGTTCTCTTGTGTTTTCCAAGGCTCTCAGTTCCCAGCGCCCATTGTAGTACATCTTCATGTGTAAAGTCTGATCTTTGTTTACTTCCTGGTAACGTAGTGTGCAGGGTCACAGGATGTGAGGAGACTTCTGGAAAACAGAGTGATGTTTTACCAATGACTTTTACTTAAGCCTAAGATTCTGCTACAAAGTACAGTGCACCAAAGCACAGCACGCACACACAGCGAATTGCTGCGCAAAGGAAGCGCCTCCTGGATATGTTTGGAAGGTTGGAGGTATGCAGGTAAACAGATATAACCCAGATCCAGTGCACCCATGTCAGGGAGAAGTACATCACTTAGTGTAAGTTCTACCTGAAGCTAATACATTGTTTCAAGAAAATAAAAGCAAAAATAAATTGAAAAACAACAACAAAACAAGTAAAGTCAGGAGCCCAGCAGATTAACCTGAAGATGGTCCCGGCTGCCAAAGCTGCTGTCTGGAGCAGTTCATTTAAATAGCAGCATAACTTCACATCACTGCTTGGTGAAGATATATTTGGACATACTTGTGAAGTTTTTGCTGGTGGATTCATGCATCACAAGCGTACCGCTTTCATGAAGAACTCCAAAATATGCAAGCAAAATATAAACAGAAACTAAGCAATTTAGAATCACTTTGAATTAGGTATGAACTGCCAGCCTCTTATTAAATCTTTCTGAGATTCAAACATGAATTGATAAAAATCAATAACAAAGGAAACCTCATTTTCTTCTTCATTAATTTTTACTTAGTTTAGCAGATGTTTCTTGTCTCATATTGCAGACCATTTAATTTGCGTTAAGCAAGAGACTACAAATTTGATTTACACATTTTAATTCCAAGCTTGCATTTTTAGTACTTTCAGATACATTTATATGCAAAGCATTATGGGTTGCATTCTGAACTAGATCCTTAGTTTAGCCAAGCTAAGCTTGTATCATAACTGGGATGAGAGGGGAACTGAGGTAAGAGACGTTTTTTTTGTCTCACTCTGAAATGAAAATTTACTGTAGACTGCACTGACTGCACTGTTTAGAACGGATTTCAAGTTGAATCTAGTGCCACGAACCTTCTCGAGGCTGGTTATAGCCATGATCAATCTCAAAGGGGCAGCAGTGATCCAACGCTCACACCTTCCCTTGAGCTTACCCCAGCAGTAAAGCCTCCTAAAAGGCATGACAGAGGTAACTCAGCCTTAGGCTGCCTAACATTTCCTTGGGAAAACCAGGTAAGTTGGCTTTCTGACTGCTTTGTGGTCCCTGAATGGCGTGCAGCAGGCAGCCTGTGCTTTTGTTCCTGGGAATATGAGATCCATTTGGACAGACTGCTGCTCTTTCTTATGGTGCCCTGTGGACAGGTTCCTGTTACTCAGTTTAAACGGCTCACTTATTCACCAAGATTTTAGTTATGAAGATAGATAGAGAAGTAATAAAATAAAAATAGTGGAAAACTGCTGTACTGAGGTACAGAGAATTTAAGACTTTCCCTCTTTTTAAAATTACAGTGGATTTATGCATGCTCACTGCTTGGCATTTGCTTGAGTTAGGTCTGCCAGTAAATAAAGTTGAAGCATTCACATCTCTGGGCTCAGATGGGATTGTAAAAGTGGCGGGTGAAGGAAGAGACACAGACTTTTGTTAAAGGGTCAACACAGAAAACTGAATGAGCACTGCTGATGTCCACAGGATATACACACAGGATGTCCACAGCTATAACCTTCTTCCAAGAGAAATATTAAAGCTCGACAAGAAATTAAAAAAATAGTAGGAAAACAGAACAAAACAAAAACATACAAACAAAAATACAGGAATTAATTGTAACAGAAACTCACAGAAGACTTTAAAGATAACATCAGGTAACAGTGGTCAGATTCTTGAATTGAAATGTCTACGCTGCACTGAATCATACAAGAAAGTCTGGGTTCCTAAGAGCCGGGTGCAGTAAAAACACAAATAAGCCTAATCGCATCATCTACACAAGGATACAGTCAGTGTTACCTACTCGACCTGTGAGCCTACAGTGAAAAGCACTTCCTTTTGCTTGTTCTCCATCTTCTCCAAGGCAGTATGCCTAGTAAGATCCAAATGGTATGATTTGTACTAAAATAGCCGTGTGGTGTGAAACGTTCAGCTGTCAGAACTGCCTCTCCTTTCTCACTTCGCAAAAAAACCACACACCACAGCACCATCTGCTTCACCACGGTGCAGATTTACTGCAGAGGAGCTGTATTTTAATGGGAAAAATCATTTGACTACAAGAGAATTTTATGACGTTGCTTTAATTTCCTTTTATTGCTTTTTTATTTTTTTTCCTCCAATTCTCACATCATCCTAGGTTTCCTAAGGCACCAGACTGTGAAGCTGACACCAGATGGGGAAATGAGTTTCAAACAGCTGCGGGCTTCCCTACTGCTGCTTCCAGCCACTGCAGATTCATTTCTGCAGGTGCATATGGGAGAAGCTGGTGACAGCAAGACAATGCTAAATTTAGTTTTCTCCTCTGCAACCTCCATAGGTTTCAGCATTCTCACAGCTCCCAAAATTTGCCACAATCACAGTATCTGTTTAGAGTGCAGAATGACTGGCAGCTGCCTTCAGCAGATGAAAAATAGGCAAACAAAGGATGACAGCACACAGAGAAGGAACAGAATGTATTTACATGGATCCCTTTACAGGAGCTTGTTTATCAGATGCTATGAACTGCTTTATTTATAGCTAATGACTTCTCCAAAAACATTGTTCTCAGTCGACTTCTACTTTTGACAGTCAGGAGACCCACTCTGCAAAGGAAATGAAATAATTTTGAATTTAAAAATGGTGAAAAAAGCTTCTTGCTGTATCCTGAGCCCATTGTGAAATGTCATATCTCTTGCATTTTTAAGCTTATTATCATTGCTGGTCATTGTTTCTAGAAAGTCTTCTCAAGAAAGAACAGCAAATCTTGTATATGAGAAGAAAATAACCAGAACTTAATTTCATACAGGAGTTGAGGATGCTTAGCCAGTAATCTGATCAGTTGTTTACACTGCCAGCTCCTTATGCAGGGGTGGTCTTTCAGTTGCCTGTGCAATGCCCAGTAGATGACAAATGCTGTACAAACAAAGGGGAGGGATTTGCATTTTCCAGGCTGAAATATTTAGTCATTGCTTCCTACAGAAACACAGAAAGCAATAGCCAGGCTGTTTCTGCCCAGCAAATCCTGCCTCTTCCATGTGGCAGACCCACTCACACTCACAGGTTTGAGCTCAGCTTGCAGAACACAGACGCTTGTACCCAGGGAGGACTGTGCCCTTTCTTTGATCGCCATCTCTGCTCCCCAAACAGCTTCCAACTGCAAAGCAAAGCAAAGCTTCAGCACGGTGGGAAATGCCAGCACGCTGGGGTCATCTGTGCACCAGAGTCTGTGTGGCTGCAGATGTGTGTTCCACCACGGACTCATGGCCGCCAGCAGTGCCTGTCAGCGCTCCCAGACCAGGATGCTTCAGGAGTCAAAGTGTGTCCTGTCACCTTTTCCTCTTGCAATGCTAATTAGACTGTGCACTCTGCAAGCGCACAATGGAGGCACAGGAGGTGTTTATGCATTTTGTTTGTTGTAGCCCGTAGGAATTACAAAGGAAACTCATGCAGTGAATGGAAGGTGATGTTATTTGCTTCAGGATGATGCAGTATTTCAAATTCGTTCTGTTTGCTGAAGCAAGGAGGAAATGGGTTTGCTCCTGCAAAATCTTTATTCCTACAGTCCTGCAGCTCTGGCTTCACATAAAGCCCCTGCCCTCCTGCTGCCGCCCTGGATTGGTGCTGGGGTGGCTTGAGAAGGCCAGGGCTATTTGCATTTGGACCTGCACTGCTACAGAAAAAGAGCAAAGACCACATTCAGCTCTGTTACCAGAAATGAAAGCACAAAGAAATCACAACTCTTCGTTTGCAGACTCTTAAAACATTTCCAGTTTAACTTTTAAGCATTAGGAACGTATCTCAGAAAAAGCAGATCCACTGACCGGATGCATCTTAACGTTAGAATTAACCTCGTACTTCAGAAGTAAAGCCAGCTAAAAGTGCACAGGTAAAACAGTTTCTCCTTGGCTGTAATGGAATAAGTAAAGTACTCAAAACATAATTTCAGAGCTTGGCTAAGCATTAACAGCATTTGTCAGTAACAAATACATGAAGCTATGGTTTTGGAAATGGAACAGGAGATGGCTGATGCACTTATATCAGAGGAACTGGGCTACTAGCCAAAATCTGAGTTCTGATAGTTATGTTCCCAACCAGGGATTGATTCCTGAACTGAAGTATCTGAGGATAGAAAAGCAAACTATAGCATGATGTGCAGAATCTGTGGACTGTGTGCATATTTATCTTTCTTTCTTCTATTGCTTTTCTTCATCTTGTCTATCGAGATCTGAAAATTCACTGACATCTTCAATCACTACGCTCTTAGGAAGAAGTGAAGCAACATTTATTTACAACCTAAGTCTTGCATATAAAAAGGAAGACCTCACTCTTCCAGCACCTTTGAGCCAGATGCCCTTTAAAGATTTTCCTTTAGTCAGAGTTAGTTCAATCACTACGCATGAAACAGATGAAATATGGCTGAAAAAAACAAATATCCTCATACTTATTTCTGTAATGATTAAGATGTGAAAAATATTACTTTTAAGTCTCTGAGATAATTATGTTTTTAATCTTCAAATGTTTTTTTACCTGAAGTTACCAGTAGTGAGCACGTTCAAGAGAATCTGCGCTACTGAGATGTAAGGAGCAGGCTGAGAAATGCAACACCAGAAGCTGAAGCAGTGGTAGCAAATGTTGGCCATTGTAAAATACAGTTTTGATACAACACAAAGTTCTCTTACAGAGCTTTAATTCAGAAGTTAAGAAGATGTAAGAAAGTTCATAGTACTTGTCAGGCAGACTCAGTGGTAGGTAATAAAAGCCTCTCAGTCCAACAAAATGAATTCTTGAAGGCTTGAGATGCCTCATGCCGGCAAATATCAAGACGGGAATGACAGTACAAGAAAGCATGTCAGACAGAACCTATCTGAGAGAAAAAAAACTCACTTTAAATGAGCTTTGTTATGCTGTAGGGAAGTAATACATATTCGAAAC